AACTTCTCCACAACAGTATCTCGGACCTGCCTGGTGTGTTCCTTGGTCTTCATGATGCTCTCTGCGCTTTGAACAGAACCCTGAGACTATCACAGAGCAGGTGCATGTAGACGGAGACTTGATTGCACACAGGTGGATTCTATTTATCATCATCGGTCATTTGGGACAACATTGGATCATTCATAGATCCTCACTGAACTTCTGGGGTGAGTTTGCTGCACTGAAAGTAAGGGGGCCGAATAATATTGCACGCCCCACTTTTCAGTTTTTTATTTGTTAAAAAAGTTTGACACATCCAATAAATTTCATTCCACTTCATGATTGTGTCCCACTTGTAGTTGATTCTTCACAAAAAAATTCAATTTGATATCTTTATGTTTGAAGCCTGAAATGTGGCAAAAGGTTGAAAAGTTCAAGGGGGCCGAAGACTTTCGCAAGGCACTGTAACAACTGAACCACCGTCACACCGCATGTTAGAAAAAAATCATGTTTGAACATACAAGAAGAACATGAAAATAATTATTTGTGGTGCATTTTTATTTTAACAAGGCAAAGTTTCTTTAATTTATGTGGATGGGGACGTGGCTTAAAACTTGATGCACATATTATTATTGACACACAAAAAACAACTCATCAAACTTTATGCACTTTGTTACCAGCAGCCTGTCATAAAGACACAATCTGTTCCTATGTCTTTAGCTGAATCTATACAAGTACCAAAGGTAACAGTTTGGCCCATAAATGTTTTTTTTTATTATTATTATTAGCAACAAAGTGATTACCAAAGAGTTGTGCCATGCTTGACTTTTCCTTCATTTCTTAAAAACACAACTGTCGGATAATGTTCATGTACTGTAGATTCCTTTCTCCTCCACATCATTTTTTAAACACTCACTGCATTATATGCTGTTTTGGTCAGGACTGCATCAAAACAATGAGTGATAACACAGTGAAGGTCCAAAGTGAAACCTTCAGAAAGCTTGAACATGTATTGATCCAAACCTCTTTAAAATATCACAAGAAAGTCTGGCTCATTGGAGGCAAAATGCAAAGAAACTGGGCATGGTTTTGCTTAATACGCACCTATAGGTCCCATAAGAGAGCTGGACCTTAAAGTGTTTTTAATGTTGCATACTATTCCTCGCATTTGATACAAACGGTAAGAAAATTATGCACACGTATGATGCCATTTAGTAGAATATAACAAACCAGGCACTACACAGATACCAATCTATTGAATTGTTTATTTAACAATGCATGCCAGACATGATCCTATTCACATTGAAGAATACAGATTTGTATTTGCATCCACATACTCACTACTTTAATTTCATATTATGATCTCTATCTTTCTCTCAGTCAACATCACAAAGTCATCTGTGTACACGCTGAGTGGAAGAACTGCATGCATTTAAAGGACATTAAATTAGGTGTGACCAGTAGTGGGATACAGCAAGTCCCTTTTAGTTTATCAATATTATTGCAGAAAAAACATGTGCGTAAAACTCTTCCTTTATAGCCTATTGTCACAAGGTTCTTAAGAAGGAAGCAAATCTGTTGATTATCAATAAAACTCTAGATTAATAGAGTGTAGGAAAATATTTAAAAAGTACTGTACACTGAGACTCTGCTGGGTTGTGTTGTCTTGGCATGCCTCCCTGTTATTGGTGTCACCTAAATGTCTGAGTTTGCACGCAGGTCAGTTGTACACACACACTCACATTCACACCTCCTGCTCCACAACGGCCGTGGCGATGTATCACACTGCCGTTTACCAATTGTAAAAGTTCCTACATGCCAAGGACACGTATGTTATCTGACACTCCTTGTGGGGATAAACAAACTGTGGAAAGTTTCTTTTCATTTCTGAACAGGCCATATGGGAGGGCCTAAGCCAAACACAGTCATTTGTTTTCATACTTTGATATACAGAGCTTGGGTTGAACAGTTCAACCTTGGCTTGCTTCTTGAACCCTGTCTGTCGCAGCTAGACAGTAGGTCGACAGAACATTACTGCATCTGTTTCCATTTGGTATGACAGTTTGGTTTGGTTCAAAATGTAAGCAGCAGCTGTGCATGACCAAAGCCTGCCTCTATGAAAGCACACATATTCATAAACGTAAAAAAAAAAAAAAAACATTTTCCCTTTTGTTTTTACTGTTGGCGATTGAAGCTCTAGCGGGTCAGTTAGTCAAGCTAGTATGAAGACATTCATTCAAATGCTATTGCTATTTCTGAGCACATTAAACAAACAAAATATATATAAAGTTCATCTAAAATCTCCCAAATTTTTGGGTTAGACTCATAAAGCACAGTGATTATATTGAACGCCGCCAGCTTAAGACAAACTCATCCAACTCTGTTCCTTTTAATAAAATCCCACCATGACTCTATGAAGTACACCCTCTGTCTTGCATCACTGGGGGAATATTGTCCCTGAGCACTAACCTGGGGTCAACCTTTTGTTTGTTGTCTCCACAACATAGCCCACACATTTTGGTAAAGAAGCGGTAAATCAGATATTTTTCAAGCATCAACAACTTTACTCCAAATTCTGTCCTATGATACTGACCATGTGTCGACTGAAAAGCTTGTGTCTGTGGGAAAATAATTCGAAACAGTGATATTTGACCAACCAGAAGTGAGCACTGATTGGGGTTGCACAATACCTTATGCAATGGAAAACATTTAATGGTCAGGATGTTTAGATTGTACGACTGAGTTGTGACACAAGTGAGTCAGATTAAGCAGTTCTAGTGAGACAGAATAGTTTACTGCAACAACATCCAGCCACACGGAGAAGCTGGGTCTCCTCATGCCTCAGTTTCATGTGCAAAAAAAACGATCTTTATGATGCTCAAGACATCGCTTTTTAAAGAAATACAGATAAATGTCCAAATGAGCAATGGTACAGTTGACAAAAAAAAGAAAAGAACAACAACAAATGAACAATTCCTCCACTCCGTACATCAGATGAGAAACAGAAGAGAGGTCTAGGAAAAAATAATCAGCAATAGTTGTCCTCTGTGAAAAAAACAACAGTGGACAAAGACGTGGACTTTCACAAATAAGTCCCCACATACTCCATCCATGCCCAAAAGGCACCCTAAAAGTTTGGTATTACTGGCAACTGTGGATTGCCAAATCAACAATTAAAAAAATTCCATAAACTGGTTGATAAAACACAATAAAAACTACTTTAAATACAATAAATATGATTGAAATGTACAGCATTTTAGACTATTCAATATTTAATAAATAATATTGTACATCACCATTTAGTGCATGTAGATGGTCATCTTTCATCATATTTAAAAGCTTAATTAGAAAATACTTATATTATGACAAAAATATCACTGAAAACATATCAATAGTAATAATATAATTCAAACAGGCATTTAATAATCAGAAATTAGCAAGAAAAAAATGTAAATCATTTTCATCTCAAAATAATCCAACAAGATTAAACAGAATTGAAAAAGCAAGAATATATATATATATATATATATATATATATATATATAAAACATTAAATATATATATATATCACAGACACACACACACACCATT